TTTCACCATACACCCCAACACCACACCCCAATATCTTCCTTTTATGGGGCCTAAACTTCTTTATAGGGGTGCTGTATGTAGCGCTTGTCAGGGCGTGCAACACTTAGCTTGTGTCAGTCCCAGAGCATTCTTTTTGCAGCCGTGGGCCCGAGCTGGGCCATGGCAACATCTTTGAATGTGGGCGACTTCAAAGTCTACCACTGCACGTCCACGGGGGAGCTCTTGTGGGTGTTCCATCATGTGACTGACTCTATCTTCTCAAAGAACAGGCAAGGTGCCAAAGAATTGTTTTCTTGGTACCACGGGAATGCCCCAAACAGTTCGACTCTCAGCCCTGAGGCAAGCTACAGATGTGGTCACGAAGAGCAACGCGGCGATTTCCAGAACGTTTTCCAAGATCTTTCCTCATGCTGCAGTTCCCCCGTGGTATGCAGCTTGGTAGCAGCTTGTTTTGCAGAGCTTGCATGGAAACGCGAGCCTATTATAGTCGAGTCAGCCAAGGTGTGCGGCCCATCCGCCAGGCGGAAGGGCCGGTATGATTCCAATCTGGCGCCAAACGAGGTGCTAAATCAATGCATCAGTGAAATTGTTTCACCAACAGCTGGTGTGATATCTATTTTGAGTCATTGGACAAAGGCCAAGAACACGCAGAATCTAGCCCGCATTTTAGCGCAGCCAACTGGTTCCACTGGTCTTCCCACCTTGGCGTTCCCTGTTGTAGCTGCTACCCGCTCAGGGCTGCCCTCATGCTGCAGAAGTGGCTAGCGCCCCTGAGCAGCGGCAAAGCTGGAATCGACACAATTACCATTGCCCAGGCCGGCAAGCACTGCAAGCGCTCTCAGCATTCATGTTGACAATTGCAAGCGAGGCCCAACTCCATCTATTGGTTTCTGGGTGGTTTGACTGCTAGAGCCAGTCAAGAGAGTCTGTGTCAGCAACCGTCCTGCCAGGTTCAAATCCCGGTTGAGAACGGCCGCGCGCTGCTGGCAGATGGCCGCGCCGAGGTCCTGAAGCGGCAGCGTTGGTGGCTGGATTTCTTGGCATGGTTCGATGACCGGATTCGTCAGGATTCTGGGAAGTCTCCAGATGAGAGGCTTTTCACATCATCGGTCGCCCGGTTTGTCAACAACACCTGTTTACTGTTCTCGTTGCAAACGTTAAACCACTTCAAGGGGAGCCGCAATTTCACGAGGATGAATTTTGCCAGTCAGTGATGATCCCAACCAAAATTGGCAGTGTTCACAAGGGTTCATGTTGCAATTCAACGACACCAATGAGCTATAGGACTGGGCGCTCAGGTAGACCCTCCTTTGGGCGAGCTCATCACCGCCTTGCTCATTGCTGGAGGGGATGTCAGCTTGGCAGCTGCGCACCGCTTGCTACAGCACTTTGCCCAAATCATGGCTAGCGGCATTTGGGCCTTTGCAATCTCGACCCCATCGAGTAAGTCGAAGAAAGCCCACGCCCTCTTTGACCGCGCTGTCCTTTGCAAGGCGTTGGCTCTTGTCCAGCAAGGCCAGCACCCATCGCTGGAGGCGGCGTGCAAGAAAATGGACCTTGGTAGGGCGGCCCCGCCAACGATCCACAAGGACTGCGTACAAGTTCACTCCATGAGTTTCTAAGTTGCAAAACCTCTTAGCCGCTAGTCACTGAACTCTCAGACTGAACTTCTGGGGGGCGCCTTGACCTTGATTGATGCGTGTCCCCAGCAACCAGGACTACACAAGCGCCTACTGCGCCCGAATCTCTGCAGAAGTGAAAGGCCAAGCCAACTACCTGCAGGCGGGTGATGGGGCGTGGTGGGAACACATTCTCCTGCTACTGCTGCTCTTTCTGCGACTGCTGCTACTACTGCGGCTGCTGCTACTATATCACACTACCACTACCACTCCGACTACTACGCTACTACCACTACTACTACCCCTGCTACTCCTACTGCTGCTGCTGCATCTGCTCTACTGTTACTTCTGCTGCTTTTACTGCTGCTGCTGCCTACAATGACTACTACTACTGCTGCTACTACTACACGACTTTGGATTCTTATGTCTCTTGCGCTTCTCAAAGCCCAGCAATAGCAACGCCAAGACTTGCCCGGCCAGGTGTTGTTTGACGGTGGGGCGCCAACGCCGATCAAAGCTACCTTTTATACCTTCTGGTCGCCGGATCTGCAATTGGGCTTCTCAGCCCCCTTCCAGGCCCGCCGCTTCTCCCCCCCAGCGCTTGCTTTGCTATTTTGAGTGAGTTGAGTTGAGTCAAGCGCCGCCTGACGCGTTCTGGTTTTCAGTTTGTTGTGGGGTGGATCAAGCCTGCCTGCCCATGGATCCGGGGTTGGCTCGCTGCTTTGAATGGGGGCATCACGTGATCAGCGCAGCGATGCAGTTGACAAGCCGAAGCCACCTTGAGCAATCCCTGCTCTGTGCGCCTGGTTCTCAAGGAACCACATCAGAGTTCACAGGGGGCGCAGCAGCTTGGGAAACTGCCTGTGGCATTTTGACTGCTGCAGCTCATCAAAAGCACTTGCACGCTCAACTTCGGCCGCTTTCCACTTGTGCCACTTGCTTCATGAGTCAAACATCAATTCTTTTTTTGTGGTATTCACTGGTCCTCTCCCATTCCTTCGCCCAACCCCCGTCTCCCCTCTGCCCAGGAAGTGGAGCGCAACATGCAGAAGGCTTTGGCTTACAAGCTGGCCGACGGCTGCCACATCTTCGACAACATCCTTGACGTGTGGGGGGATGCAAATCACTGGCATCAGGCCATCATGGAGCAGCCCGATTTTGATTCCAAACTGCAATTAGCGCAGTCCCTGCCAGTTTACGACACTGCGTGGTGTGTCCGGCACCAGCGGCATTGCGAGATCAATACAGGGGGGGCTAGCAAGGTCGGGGGTCAGCCCTGCCAAGATTGGAGCACGGCTGGCAAGAAACGGAAGGAACATGGACCTGGTCTACCGTTGCTGTTAGCCTTCGGCGCCAAGAGCAAGCACACACAGACCCCCGTGGTAATCCTGGAGTGTGTAAAAGCTCTTCCCACACATATGGTCGAGGCTGCTTTTGGGAGTTGCTACGAATGGCCTCTTCACGGGATTATGTCTCCTGATATGGTCGGGTTTTCCTTCTCCCGGAGGGACAGGTTGCTTGCCCAAATAACATCAAGCAGCTGTAGATTGAACTGCAAGTAGCTTGACAGTTTTAATGATCACAAGCACTGTGACAAGCACGCGCCCCTCAACATCTGAGGTTGTACATGGGGGGCATCCGGGGCGAGGACGTGCAAATAGTCATGGACCCTCAATTTTTGCTGGCCCATTTTCATCACATCCTTCAGAGAGAACCGCCGCTTCGGCCATGAGCTTACAACATGGATTCAAACTGTTTCTTTCTGACCCTTCGAATCCGCTCTCAGTCGCTCAGGCCATCGGTTCTTCTATGTGGATCTGAGAAGGATGTGATAGAGGACTGCCTGCACTTGGCCCGAGTCCAGTCCATGCGCGGCAAACAGTTCAACCTCCACGGAGCCCTCTCGCCATTTGATGTGGTATCCAAGACCGAGATGCAACGTACAAGGTCATATGTCAGTTTGTATCAATCAATTCAGGGACCGAAGTGCCTTCCAGCCGACTTATTTGTACATGTTGGCGATGATCCCGCTGGTCAGTCAGGGTGGACCTGTTGGTCAGCCACGTCCAACAAGCTCCCAACGATCCGGCGAACAGGCTCATTCTACATAGCCCCGTTTGCGAACCGACATCTCCTTCTAAAGGAGATGTGGGCTTTCCTTGTTTCGAACCTGCCGCCATGAAAGCAAATGTTTGCACATATCCAGCCTTTTGGGGGCCAAATTCTTACTGGCATTCCCGCCGTGCTCTGGGGAACAGCATGTCAGTGCCACAAGTGGGCTGCACTGCTGCAGCTGTTCTGTGCTCATGCAAAGCCAAGCATTGATGCTTGTGCGGATGAAAACAAATCAGTCTGGAGCACGCGTTTGTCAGCCATTGTGACACTGAGTTTGGTTGGTGTGTTTGGACAAACGGCGAGTTACGTTTTGGCCCTCAAGGATTGTAGTGACCCAGTGAAGCATCAGGTTCCCAAGCTAATCTCTGCGACATGTACGGAGTTCCTCCTGTCCCACATCAACAGCGTCCCGGTGGACAGGCGCCACCTCCTCCCCCTGCTCAGGGGGCAAATGCGCCACCACCTCCGCCGCAGCAGACAGGGGTGACATTTCAGATCCAGCCTATGGCGCCAGCGCCGGCACACCCAACCCAACAGCGGCTCCAACCTGTCCAGCAATCCGGATCTCGCCCCAGCCCGCCTTTGCCTTTGCCTCTTCCTCAGCAGCAACCTCAATATGCCCCGAAAGCCCGTTGCTAGCCTGCAATCAACATGATAGACGACCATAAGACACAATCCATCCAATCTGTTCCTTTGTTGGGATTTCTTGACAAGGTCAATCTGCGCAAGTCCCGGCCCAACGTCAAAGTGCTCTGCGCGGCGGTGCGCCACAGCGAGGCAGCGGCTCGAACAGCGGCGGGCCAACTGTTCGCTATCCCAAGGCTTCATCGAGCGACCACCTGAACTTTAAGGATCTCTACGAGCTGCCGCTCACAGACAAAATCGCCCAGCTTCCGAAGATGGATGGCAGCCGATGGAACAACGCGATCATGAACCAACTGGACAACGCTGATGTAACCGCAACTTGGCATTGCAAGCTACTGCGGGTTGACTCAATTAAACTGCTGTGCGAAGCTAGGGTGGTGACTCACCGAAACCGTTCACACATCCAGTCCAGTCATACGCACATCAAGCGAGGAGATCCTGAGCTACTTGTGCGACATTGACCCGACACAGAAACCGCGATGTGTAGACGGAGCTTCCAGCCGACGCATGTCTAGGTTGGGTCAAATGTCGCAGCATTGCGCGAAGCTGTCGTAAACATGTCGCAATCACTGAGGCGCCAAATACTTGCAAGGCCTTGTGGACGAGTATGGCCGGCAGGCCCAAGACAGCGAGCTCGTCATGTGTGCCTTGGCCTGAACCACTAGTATAAGTGTACCCGCATTCGCGTCGCAGACTGTTGGTCTCAGCACGCCTTTCACTCAAGTGGGTTGCCAATAAGCCAAGACAACCCGCGCAATATCATCGACCTTGTCCGGGCAGAGCGGCTGTATGAGCAGAGCACTCTCCAGAGCCTCTTGTGCTACCAGAGCTCTGATGGCTCCTTCTGCGTGTCAAATGGGACTGAACACCGCTTTCTTCCCCGGACAATGAGCCCTTGGGATGCCAGGGTGCACTGGGACTTTGTGCAACTTGGACTAAGATGTCAATATCACCATCTCTCCAGTTCGAAACGTTTGAACCTCAATTAAAGTTCAGCTCTGACTTGAGGCAGCGAAGGCCATACCTCACGAGCGGGGTAGAAAGCACGTGGGTCGAAGACTTTGTGACCGTTCCGCCGGCTCCCACGTACAGCGAATTGCCTGGGAGACTGGCGTCCCCAAGTTCAAGGCAGGGTCTCCTTGCAAGCGAGAAGGCCAAGTTGGGGGGAAGCACCGACAGCCTTGATGGCACGCCGGTAAAACCCGAGAGCGTCGAACCGCTGCCAGCACCTTGGTTTGCAACTTCGAACAACACGCCATACACTTGTTTGAAGAAACGGTGTTTCCTGCCAATTCTTGGCGCTGATAAATCACATCCTTCTGCCTTAGCTGGTCCATCCATGAACTGGCACGGAAGGCAGCGAGTCAAACTGGATGCTAGTCACTAGTGACGGTGCAGCCACCAGCCAAGATTGGTAACTCTGCTGCGCCTCCCCGTGATCCCTCACCAACACCATCCCGAATGTCGATGATGTCCCTTGACGGAGCCGAAGCAGGCGAAGAGGAAGAATTTCTTCCCAAGATGCCCTACGCAGTGGTCGGCTACATTCCGCGACATGATGACTCGGCTGGCCCTGACGTACCTGTGCTGCTTTCAACCACTGACCCCAACAAGGTGGCAGTCTTGCCAGCCAACCCTATGAAGGACTTTGAGGTTCGCTTCAGCCGTCCGAACAAGAAGTGGCTTCTGAGCAGCCCCTCCATGAACTTGTGCAAGTATGTGACCTGGCAGCACTGGTGTGCGATGTGATAAGTTTCACATCCAGGATCGACATGTCACCTCAACACCTGTGACATACCTGTGACTTCCTGTTGCCACGGACTCGTTTCGCCCAGGTCGATGCGTGCTTTGAGGAGAACACGGCCATTCCGCCGGAGAGCGCCGCCGCTAAGAAACGCCGAGTGTTGGCTCCGGACCGGAGTTGCCCAAGCATCACTGGTGTTGCGATCATAGCGCAGCCTTTGAACTTTTGACATAAACAAGCTGGCTTCATTTGACACAGGAGTTCTCCGAATCCCAGTGGTCTACCGAGGGGCAGGGTGGCAACCTGGACCCGGGCTTAATCATGTTTTGAAACTAGAGTTGCCGACATTGTGACATGACATTGGTTGAAATCGCTGCACCAACGACCAAGGAGTCACAAGACCTTGGGATTTCTTCCCCGGGCCGAAAGAATCAGGAGTGGTCTTTTGCTGTTGTCCCATAGTTGTCTTGGAAAAGCCTTTCCTGAGAATGGAGTTTTCCTCTAACACGCGGCCTTGAAGGAGCCATCGGTTGGCCTTGACGGGAAGCAGTCCGAGCGGCCTGATGTTCCTGAAGTCCCCGACTTTGAAGACAAGGCCGAGGAGGCTGAGCAGAAGGTCGCGACAAAGAATACCTGAGCAAGGCCATGCCCAGGCATGCTTGGTGTCTTCCATATGTTTGGTTTCCCTTTGTTGAAAGAATTTGAGAAGTTGTGTGGGCCAGTTTGAACAGGGAGGATTGAATCAAGAAAATTAGCTCTAACTGAAACGACTTTGGTTTCAAATCAAGGGCCGGCGTGCCTTGTTGTCGTGGTTTTCTAAAACAGGGAAATACGAGATCCGGAATGTTTAATAAATTGATTGAAGGTTCCACGACGTTTTGGGGGTGGCTAGAAAGGACCCTCAAAAACAACTCCACAGCACTCCTGAAAAAACCACAGACCCCACAATATAACGGCTTGATGCCATGGCAGGTAAGGCATAGATAAGAGAAAGAAATGGGGTGGTGGCTGCGGCGCCCCAAGCCTAAATTGATGTCTTTCCAGGCTACCCCCGAAGCATACACCTCCAAAACCTACAGTATGGCTCCCCAAACACCCCCCCAACTCCCCCCTTGCCCTCACTCCCCCTCAACCTCTCCCCTCACCCTCCCCCTCCCCCTGACCCCGCCCTGAACCCACAAAGGGAGAGGTTGGTCTTTGTTACCCACAGGGCCTTCCCCCCCCCTATGAGCAGCGTGCTGAATCTCCCCTCTAAAAAAGAAAAAAGAAACAAAAGAAACAAGCAAAAGCGAAAAAACAAAGAAAAATAGCCCTCGAGGCCGGAAAACACCAGAAACGCAAAAGAAAAAAGAAAAAAGAACAAGAGCAAACAGAGAAAAAACAGAAAGAGAGAAGACAGAATCGAAAAACGACACCCGAAAAAAGACCAGACCGACAAGAGACAACACAACTGTCGTCCACTCGTGACCCATTCCCAACCTTATTCGTCCCCCCTCCCCCTTCCCCCACCCGCTCTCTCTTCATCTATCGTCCTCTGCTCCCACCGCCCCTCTCCCCTCTACCGTCCGTCCCCCCACTCCCCCTCACTCCCCCTCCCCCATCCTCCCCCTCCCCCCCCCTTTTCTACCTCCTCCCCTCGCCCTCCCCCCGGCACCTCCCCCCATACACAACCCCACCCCTCCCCGCCTCCCCTCTCCCAACCAATTTTGTTGACAAAAGAAGATTCTTTGTAACAGTGGACAAAGCAGTGGCTTTGTTCCAAAGAATGTCGTTGTTTGGGCGTTTCAGTCTTTTTTCACACTGGAGCTGAAAACACAACAGCAATCTTTTTCCCTGGGTTTGTCGCCCTGCTTGCTTAGCATTCTGTGGAACCAACTAAGCAATGACAATGTTGTTAACGTGTTGTCAATCAAGAGTATAGCAGGAATCGAAGCCCAAGCATTGTCAGCCCTGGGGTTGACGCGATCCAAGTCACTCGTTGCTCAATGACATATTTTTTGCCCTTGGCACCCACGCAGCCTGACACCGATGATGTTGCTGTCCCTTTTTGTCAGTTCCGAAAAGTGGCTGTTGAACAAGGAGCATGACTCAGGCGACAGTTGCGTGGGTGTTGCAAGAATCATCATTCAAGGCGATGTGGCTTTGGCACATCAATAAGTGATGCGCTTGCTACTGGATGCGGGCACCACGAACTACTGGCCAGGATCCCTTTCGAGCCGACTTAGTGTTGTTTTTGTTGAATCGAACGGGCCCGCCTGCCAGCCCGTAGTCCAGTAACGTTTGCGCAGTTGACCTCGCCTCAGCAAGTGGCACAGTGCTGCGGTGAAAATCACAGACTCTGGCTTGACTCACTGCTTCATCGAACTTGTTGCCTTGCAATGAAACTACCGGCTTGAGGCTGGTCATGTTGGCAGTCGCCCCTCCGCAGGTTGAGGACAAGACCATCCTCAACGATGGGCCAGACAACCAGGAGGATGCAGAAGAGCTCAAAACTCTGATGAAGGCCGCAGCGCCTTGGCTTCTGCATTGTCTGCAAAGTTTGGAGCACTCAGACCGTTGATCAATCAAGATTCAAACAAATAGTTGTAGAAAGCAGGGGTTTCAGAAACCAAGGTTCGATTCAACTGATTAACTACTAGACCAATCTAGATTTCAACCACCCTATTATTGAATTTTATGTTCCATTTTGTGTCTGTGTCTTTTTTGGGGGGTTCTTATCCCTGAGTTTTCAACCTCAAAACCATGTCTTGCACTAAGTCGATGGAAAAGCAAAACTTACTGCCGCTTGGGGCAGTTCAGAAGCTACGCCAAGAGGCCAGGGTCCTGAACAAGCAAGAGCTTCAATCAGTCCGAGATCTTTCCAACGCCATTCGGCATGCTGCCTCGTTGGATGATTATTTGCCGAAGTCGCGTGCTCCATCAGCAGCGCGGCCCGCGAATGACTTGCTGCGCCAGCCTTGTCTCCTGGTGACATGCGACGAGGAAAGAAAACAGATCCATGGCCGAATGGTCTCCTCCCAATTGGATTCCGTGTTGTTTTAGTTTTGCCCTAGATTTGATAACCCCATCATAATTTTAGGTTTGATTTCGACATCGACTCACCGTTTGAGTAAATGACCATTTCTTGTTCTTTGTAGCCCCCCACTGCCGCGCGCACTCGGCAACTCATTCAACAATGTTGAAATTCGGGACAGCTCAGGATGAAATGGCTGCACCGACTGGCTTTTCAAAACAAACTTCGGATTGTGATCCGAAGGGACGAGCACCACAGGCTCCAGAATGACAGCTTGGCACCGGCGAAGGCGTGCAAGATCTTTGGAAGCTTGTCTGAAACAGGGGTGACACAAAATAACAAACATGTGTTTCAAACAGGTTGCTGGAAAGACATATTCTTGAGCCTGATATCCCGGCCTGGACTCAAAACAAGGCTGCGTTGCAGCGTGCAGAATCATCATGAGCATAAATCGGCGGCCATGGAGCTCCTATGGCTTTGGCCACACGCTAGCTGGGTGCATCAGTTCCTACTTGAAACTATACGGACCAAGCTCTGCTGAGTGCCTTGTCGATTGTTAGTTGCGCTGACCAACTGCTGCTGTTAAAGTCAAGCATCTAAGCTAAGTAGTCAACTAACGAAGTTATTGGAATCTGACATTTTCAAATCATCCTGAGCCAAACGTCCGCGCCGAGGTTTCAAGAGCACTTAGACGAGATGCGGCTGGACATGGGACTGCCGGAGTCGGCCAGCGCTGATGAGATCTATGACATGTGTTGGAGCGGTATTGACGCCCTTACATCACCTTCAGAAGCCGCTCGGCCCTGCAACATCACCTTGCTTACCACTGACTGTTGCCATTCTTACGGGAATCGACCCACATTGCCGCTTGGCGCCCCTCTCTTGGAATCTATAAAGGATGTTTTATTGAACAAGCCACAAACTGAAAATAGCAAACCAAGTAAGCAATCGTTAGGTTGTGCTCCCTACTGAATTTAGCTTCGCTGCGGCGTGTAGTGCTTAGTATCTAAGGCCACCGTGTCAAGATTCCTCAACTGGTGTTCCAGATACCACAGCTTCCACAAGTTCTGGACGTTCATGCTGAAAATTCATCGATTCCGTCGCAATCTTGTTGGTGATCTTGACCTAGAAGGACAAGAAGCTGCTCCGCGGTAGCTATCATTCAGGTTTATGTTGTTGCTGCGGCTGTGAGTTGCTGAGTGACTGGACTCAAACAACTCAATAGGATGACAACTTTGAACAGAAACAGATTGCTTTGTTTCTAACCCAGTCGTTAGCCCAAGTCCCAGGACGAGGGTGACCTTGATGTTCAGGGGCCCGCCCAGGGTGTTCTTGGAGCAGAGGAGGCTAAGGAGGACTTGACACGAAGGCTCAAAAAGCTTCAAACCCGCAAAAAGCTCATGGATGTCACCTATGATGTTCTGTCCGACAGCGTCATCAAAAAGTACTCCTACATGACACACAACTTGGAAATGGCAACATTTTTGTTTGTAGTGATTACTGGAGCTGTACCGCGTGCTAGTTGAATGGGTTTGGAAAACAACTGCAAGACAACATCAACACCCAACTGCACTATCAACTCGATACTGGTCTTGTACCCCCTAAGCGGGCAGAAGCCACTTTGTACGCAAAATGGCGACTTATACAGAAACACGGTAAGGATTTATCGCTCGCAAATGCCCCTCTACGCAGATCACTGCGATATCATGGAAATCACGAAGAGCCGCAAGCACAACGTTCAAGCACAAGCTGGATGGTCTTTGCGCTCCTGGGGGCGAACAATCTCCCGGCTGTTTGGCGAGCTGGACAGCGAGGACACTTGCAAGCGCTTGGGCTGCGACATGCGGTCAGCGCAGGACCCTGCAAGCAACAAAGAGGACGCGCTGCTGTTTTACAAACTTATTTGCAAGGCTGCTAGCCAACGAACTTGGTCTATGTCAAGCTGGCTACTTCCACCCCACCAATGGTTTGGAATTCTGCATGACAACAAAGACTGGGCGCGGGAAGCTTTCAAGGAAATGAAGAACCAAGCTGCCGTCACACGGAAAGCTTTTGAAACGCAGCAGGCTTCTGGCCAGGACACTGATGTTGCGGCGCCTTGTTCTTTACTAGCAAACGTGTACATTTTGTTTGCAATCTTTAGCTTGTGTAGATATTGTGTCGTTTCACTTAGTTTTCTAAAGCCTCATTGACTTTGCTCAGCACAGTTTCTAGGGACTGACCCACGCGCTCAATGAACTATGGTGCCACAAGTTGACCGTGGTACAGGACCGCCAAACAAGTGAATTGTAAACAGGCTCGCGCGAAATAACTAACGTTGCTTGCGCTCTGTGACTGACTTTGATCTAATTCCGGGTCACCAATATCATGTTGCGCTCGGCCACAGGAGTGCTGGAACCACATGGACTGCCACTCATGGCAGGCAAACGCCTGCTTTGAACATGTGCTTCGTTTGGCGGACTGCTGGTGCTCGACCAAGGAGTCTTTAGAAGACACCCTAGGCCATTTGAAAGATCACGGAACTCGTGACAACAAATGGTCCAACTCTTCGGCAGAGCGGCTTTTCTTTCACGCGACTTTGGGTATGCGGTGGAACACAGAGGAGTGGAAATTGATGCAAGTTTCTTCGGGCGACATGCAAAACAAGGCGATGTTTCAAAAGGAACGCTCTCGGAGCAAGATTTTTTCTGCTGGCGCTGGCGATTCCAAAGTTGAGGAGTCAGTGCGAGACGCGCTCAAGTCGAAACACAGAGGCCAGGCGGCTAAGGATAGAAAATAAGTGGCAAGTTTTGCGAACAAGTAAATCATTGCTTCATGCTGCACTGTTTGGCCCACTCGTGTAACCTTGAGTCATTGAGTGTCTTCTTTACATTTGACCGGCGCCCTACAGTCTTGTTTGCATTGGTTTGATTTCGTGAAATTTTGGGCAGTTTTTTCTGTCAGGAATTGCAGGTCGGAGCATTTCCGGTCCCGTTGGGACTGCTGTCGCTTTGTGTAACATCAAGCCAGCATCACAAGAGGCCAACTGGCGATCATCAGCATCTATGATTGTTCTGCAGGCAACGGCGGACTCGAATTTTCAAAACATTTCAGGCTGCTGGGTGACTGAACTCATGCAACTGGGAATGGTTTTCCAGCAGAAGGCAAGCGGCAAATATTTTTTGAGCTTGGGTGTTTATCACAACGCTGGCTTTGCGTGGGAGATCAAGCAGCTCACGCCTGGGTCGCCCATATTTTTGCTTTGCAGCGCTCATGCAACCTACGCGCAGGCCCGCCAACAGGTGACAACAATTTGTACCAGCCAGCTGGCTCGCAAAAATGATGACTCTGACTGCGAAGACTTCAGCGGAGTTCCGGTTGAGGTTTGCCTGGGCCTTACTTGTCGCGCATCCGCTGTTCGTAGTTTCTACAGTAGCTCCTTGCTAGTTAGTAAGTTATGGCGCCAGGCGCAAACTAATCCAAATAAACCAACAACTCATTCACCAGCCAAATATTTTTTGAGTGCTTTTGCTTGGAAAACCAAGGCCCGCCTTCTGAGCACAAAATGCCTGGCCTTGGAATTGTGCTCCGCAGAACTGGGCCGAACCTCAAGCTGGCCCAGCATTTCTTGATGCACGGGGTTGCTGCTGAAGTTGGTGACCAGGTAATCAAAAACCTATGCTTTGCGCTGGAATTGAAAGTGGAGCCATCCGGGGAGAAGAAGGTGGGACTTCACTCGCGATTGTCACTTGATTAAGGGACCGGGGCCTTACATACTGCACTTCCAATATGTCTTGTTGGTTAGCCGCACTGTGCTCGCAGTACCAAACCAAGTTGAAATGAGCAGGTAAGTTGGCTTTGTGGTCCGCGGACAGAAATCAAATCTTTAAGAGACCATCGTTGTTATGCACACTAACTACACGCTGACTTACAAAGGATAGCGCTCATTGACCACTTCTTTCCGGACATCGACAAGGACACACGCGCCAACACGCTTACTCGCCACTTGGGAGCGACAAAACACCGCAAAGAGCCAAGCTGCATGCTGGACGTTCTACACATCGTGAAGAACGACTCGGACGGAAAGTTGTGGGATGACCTGCTAGAGAAACTAGAAGACCAGGCTCGCGCGGAGTTCATAGTGACTCGAGTTGGACACAGCAAGGAACGAGCAAGCTACGCAACCCCCGAAGAGATCAAACGGCTTCGCCCTGCGGATGTTGCCAAATGCTACCTCGTTTGGCAGTTCTCGGCGAACCAGTTCCAGGCATACTACCCCAAACCTGCCAGTGATAAAGAACAAATGGAACAAGCGAAAACAAAAGGTTCAGCTGCGAGAAAGCAGAAGCTGAAAACACACTGGTCCACAGCAAAGACCTACAACCAGACCGTAACACAACTTGCAGCATTGAAACATGCTGTGGCATTTCTTTGGCAGCATCACAAAAAAGCCGGCAAAGACGCTCGACCGTGTTATTGATCAGCCTTACCGTTTGAATTTGGCCACGGGTACTTGA